TGCTTTTACCCCATTCGTGGGGAAGTCAACCGTAGTTGTCCGATCGACGGAATGGACTCCACCCTACTCACCCCGCCCACCATAGGAATGTGGAATTTCCACCACTGGCGCAAGGACTGTAGGGAAGGCGAAGCGCACAGCCTCAATGCCACCTGGAGCAGGTCACCGATTGGACTTGGCACCAGCCTTAGCGGCACGCTCGTAGCTTTATCTTTGTGTGGGTAGGTGTGTCATTGTGTGCGTGTGTGGGTCGGTGTGTCACTGTGTTTGTGTGTGGGTCGGTGTGTCACTGTGTGCGTGTGTGGGTAGGTGTGTCAGTGTGCGTGTGTGGGTAGGTGTCACTGTGTGCGTGTGTGGGTAGGTGTGCCACTGTGTGCGTGTGAGGGTCGGTATGTCACTGTGTGCGTGTGTGGGTAGCTGTGTCACTGTGTGCGTGGGTAGGTGTGTCAGTGTGTGTGGGTAGGTGTCACTGTGTGCGTGTGGGTAGGTGTCATTGTGTGTGTGTGGGTAGGTGTGTCACTGTGTGCGTGTGTGGGTAGGTGTGTCACTGTGTGCGTGTGTGGTTAGGTGTGTCACTGTGTGGGTCGGTGTGTCATTGTGTCCGCGTGTTATCCACTTAAACGTGTTTTTTCAGTTCGGAAATCAATTACTACTTCAAACAATTAAAGCAAAACATTTTAATCGACGCGCTTAGTGCATGATTGGTAAGTTATATCGTAGCATTTACCTGTCAACTCCTTACCGGTGCCCTACCTTATTACAGACAAATTCAGACCTCCTCGGTCACCCCTTGCCCCTTATACATCTCAACGTTCACCCTCCAGTCCCATCAAAACGGCTGTACGCCGTATGGACCTGAAAACTCAACTTCCCTGTACAAGAATACGGGGGGTCAACCGTGATGGGTTGACAGCTATGGAAGCAGCATTGCCACTATCGGGGCAAGCTTTCTTATCATGGACATTTGTAAAGTCTTTGACACGAGCCCAACAATTGTGTGATGTAACGCTTTTTATTTTCACTTTTTCCAAAAAAAAAAAAACCTTTCGTCCACGCATCTTCGTTTATACATACACACCGGTTTTAAAGTTTTGTATATATTATTTATATATATACACGCACACATGAGAACGGTGAGCCATGTACAACAGGACCTCCACACGACAATAGTTCGGTCTAGAAAATAAGGCAATTTGTACGTAAACATAACAAAGTCTCGTCTCACAAAGTCGTACGGCTAACTTAATGGCCACCATCGGTGTTGCTGAAGACCTTGTTAAATGCGCGATGCTTAGACGCGAGCGCGTGTACGGCGTCCATGAAGCTCCTGGGCCTCCCCAAGGTCGGCTCAGCCTTAAATGAGTACCTGGCGCGGTGTGTAAAACATCTTCACTGGGGGCTGGGTGTGGTGCTGGCCACCCATGGTCCTGGTGTGCCATCCCGGCCTGTATAGGAGCTACTCTTGAACAGCATTTGGCCCAACAGCCGACGTAGGCGATACGGGGGGGGGGGGCTCTTTGTCTTTGTACATACACACGCAATATTACTGGTATGAGAGTGGCTGTTGTATCAGATGTATGCAACACAAAACAATCATTGTTGTGACAACTCAAACTGGCCGGTGACGGCTTTGGTAAGGATTCAATACGTTTGTAAAACCTTCAAAACTCAAGAAAATGTAAAAAAAAAAGACAATTTCTTATAATTTCATCTTATTGAGATGCAACCTCCTATAATATATTACAGGAAATCAAAACCTGCGATAATTGTTCAAAACAAATGCTGTATACATTGATAAAGTTTTAAGAAAAAAGATGAATGAGATGCCTTTTTGAATTTCAATGAATGAACCTTCATCCTAACATATCAATGTCCAGTTTCCTATGAAAATAACAGCTGTGTGATTATACGCATCTCTCAGCTATGCAGAACATAAAATAACGTCGTTAATCATTGCAACTATTACTCAAAAGGGGTTTCGTGTGCCTACATAGGCACTAAGGCAGATGACAGTGGCTTGAACAGTAAAGATGATTGTTGGGATTATCCCTAAGTGAAAGGAGAGGCAGCAAGTTACTAATATTCTTGGGAAGGTCACGGAGGCGAGACTTAGATGGTTTGCACTGAGAAGGGCTTTGGAGATTAGAGGTCCATACCACGAACTCACAGAGAGAGCCATGGACTCGCACAGAGACCCACAGACTCACAAAGACCCCATAGACTCACACCCACAATCACAAAGACCCCATAGACTCGCGCAGAGACCCACAGACGCGAAGGGCAAGTGGGGTGCCACCAAAGCAGAGTAGAAGAGGGAGACCGAGAGAGAAATGGGATGGGGTCTAACGAGGTGTGAAGAGGATAGTGGATGTGATGAGAGAAAACAATGTGACTCCTTGGGTGTCTATGTACGGTGCGAAAGAGGTTCAACATACAAACATTATATATGCGTCTATGCAAGTCAATGGGTCTGTTTGAATCTACGGATTTCAATTTAAGGAGCGTGAATGCGGCCTCAAGGGAAGGCACGGAACAGAAGATCACGGAGATCAAGATGAGATCTGAAAGTCTGGGCCCGTGCAGAAGATGACGAGGATGCGATGACACCTATCCGACACGGGATGATTTAATTTCTTTAAATAACATTTCCACAAACAACTTCCTTTCACAGGGCAATTCGATTTCATGTCATTAAACAGCAAAATAATTTCCGACCACTTTTATGAATATTTACTTTTATTCCGATTACTTTTAAAGTAAACAAAAACAGGTCCTTCTCTGTTATACTCGGATGATATGTTATACATTTTCGAAAAAATAAACACTCACGCGCACTAATTATATATATGATATAAGAGGATTGCAAAGTTTGCACATCCTGGCATAGAGAGCAGTGAGTGGCCTTGTTGATGCTCTGTTATTTCTCTAACTTGGTCCATCACCATCATAATCATCATCATCAATCATCATCATCAATCATCATCATTGAAGTCCCAAAAATTCAATCCGCCCACGTGGAAGAACTCGGTCTGGCTCCAGACACCACTCGGAGCTCACGGCTCGCTCGCTGCTCGAGAAGAACTACCCTTGAACGCGTACCTCCTTAACCCTTTCCCGTTCCCATGATGTGCGTGTGCGTCATCACTTTCTCTTCCTGTTCCGTTCCAATGACGTACACACACACACACGTGTACGTCATCGGAAGAAAAACTAAAATTAAATAACTTTATCAGTACCGAGGCTCCCACAAGGCCATGCGGGAGGGCGGGAGGGCAGGAGGGCACGTGGCAGTTTCGCGCCAGCTGTCGTAGGGTTGCGGTCGTGTCGCTACAGTTCTCCGCGGTGAGTACAATGTCTTTAAAAATATCAGCCCTACGCCTCTCTAAATAAACTTAACGTCGCGCCGCTTGCGTGCTCTGAGATTCAGCGGTGAACGGGACACCGCACCCTGAACGGGACACCGCACCCTGCAACTTGCCAGACGTCTCAAAAACGGGGAAGGGTTAAGCGGTCATCTCGTGTAGGTGCAACGTGCGAGAGTAGCCCTTGGTACGGCGGAGCAGATGGTGTCCCACCCGGCCGTGCTCGTGAGCTCTCCAGCCCTGGGTTGTTTCACGCACGGAACGTTCGGACGTTGGTTGCAGCCCGCGGGATGTTGCGACGGACGCACCGGACACCACGAGGTTTTATTCGACGCAACTCCCACGCCCCTTTGCCCCCCCCCCACCGAGCGAAGGAGGTCGAACCATTCCAGAAGGCAAGAGGCTTCGCCGGGAAGAAACCTCCATGCGGACTTTGCACCGGAAACCTCTCCCTCGTCGAGTCAGGTCTCTCCGAGTCGGGAACGTCGCGCTCGAGTTCCCACCGACGTTGGGAGAGCTGGCAAAGTCGAGCGGGGGGCCAACACTCGTGGCACGTTCGCGCCCACGAGCGAGTCGCAAACCCCGGGCCGCCGAGCGTGGCAACAACGTGGGGAAGGCACTGGGAGACCGGTGTGACGGGCTCGTGGGTGGTTTCCTTCGCGTTTCTCTCAAATTTTCTCTCCAAAGTATTGCTCGAGTTTTTTTTTTTTCCGTGGCCGTTCGAGATTTCTCCACCTTCAGCCCCGAGACGTGTTAACACCCAACAGGGTACGAAACCCTTTCAAAGGTGAGCGTTCGCCCTTTTGCTTGTAGCGCCGACTTCCCTGTAATGTCCAGGCCGTCGACATGTCCATCAACTTCTCACGCACAGTTGGAGGCGACCGGTACTGTTTGGGGTGTTTACTTGCGAGCTTTTTCCACCGAGGCCTCGGGCTCGTAAAAATGGCACGTTCCTGTCTTTAATGCCAATCGTGTCCATCATTGCCCATGTTGGCTCACGTCATCAGCGATGACAGGCTTGGCACTTCTAGGAGGCGAGCCTGTGGCCTCACTTCCTCGTCCCACGAGTGTGATGATGGAAGAACAGAGGAAAAAAAACAATTGCATCCAATGATCCGGTCACCAGCTGTGTCTATAAAGTACCTCGGTGTGTTTAGCGGAAGATGCAGCCGAAAGTAAATCAGAAAAAATTATTTAAAGTGACGATCAGGCACACCTTTGCCACACTCTAGGGATGTCACTGCTGCCATGATGTTTCAATCAGAGCTGGGCCCCCCATCCCTCCAGCACTCGACCGATTATCTGTTGCTCGACTGATCGGGTCGCCAAAAATAAACTGTCAAAAGCCTCAACTCTGTTCTCATGCGTGCCGCTGAACGGGAGGTGATGGGCGGGGCTTGGTGATGTCGCGGGGGGGAGGGCTGTCACTTGTGGAAAGCAGGGGTGTACGGGAGGAGGGGCGGCCGCCGTTTATGGCTCCGAGTATCCAACGACAGCTAAAAAGTTGCCGGCCTTGATGTCTGGTCGATAGCTCAACTTAAATCGGCGGCCGGTCACCCCCCGCCGGGGCTCGAACACGACCGGCTCGTCTCATCAACGGCAGCGGCAACACTCGCGTGCTATTGCAACCATCTTGACAATCGAAGGCTGAAACTCGCTTTAGGGGGGACATCCCTGCTGACGCAGCGTGGGTGACGCAGCCAACCAACGGGCTGTGAGCTGTCCGGGTTCCTCGTTGGTGTCCACGCGCGCGGTGAAGAGCGTCGAGCCGCCTGCCCGGGCATCACTCGCACACCTCCGAGTTGACCTGTGATCTGATGCTGGCGGGGATGACTTCCAGGTGTATGTCGTACTGTTGGTCCAGGCCCAGGTAACAGTCGCTCATTACGTACAGCGTGTAGATGCACCTGCAGGGAGAAAAAATGCAGGGGACGTGTAACGACAGGCGCGTCATCAGCGCCACCGGCGTCATCGTCAGTGATTTCAGACATCAACATTTCCATTACTATTCACGTCTTCATCTCATTCCTTGAATAGTCACCCTCATTAAATAATACACGAATACATATTTTGATTTAAAGCTTTCGTGACTGCAGGGATTCATATTCTTGGTTCTATCGGAAAAGTCACGTAGAAGGGAAATAATAAAGAAATCCACAGCAAGAAAAAAATTCTTGCAGTGGATTTCACACCTGATGATGATTGCTTGTGTTGCAGTCGAAACGTCGTGAGAGTTTTTATTGTTTTATATTAATATTATTTAATTATTTCCCTTCTACGTGACTTTACCCGAAAGAACCAAGAATACAAATAAATATGTTATCCAGGAGGTCGTGAGTTTAATCCCAACCCTGACGCCTGCTGCTGTATATTTGGAGTTTTCGTGTCTCTCTCCCCGTGATCGCGTGGATTTTTCTCTGGGTCCTCCGGTTTTTCCCTCCACGTTTAGAATCAACATCACGCGTTTAGAGTATTTAGCTGTGTTCATATTCTTGGTTCACTCGGTAAAGTCATGTAGATAGAAAATAAAAGTAATAAATTAAAAATAAAATTAAAGCAAAAAACCCACGCCTGATGAAGACCGTTTGTGTTGCGATCGAAACGTCGTGGGTTTTTTGCTTTTATTATTTCAAATGTATTAAATTTTTTTATTGTATTTTACTATTTTTATTGTGGGTTTTTTGCTTGTATTATTTTACATTTATTATTTATATTTTTTCTTATTTGTATTTTAAATGATATTTTATTATTTTTGCTTTAATTAGATTTATAATTTATTATTTTTATTTTCTATCTACGTGACTTTTCCGAAAGAACCAAGAATATGAATTCCTGCAGTCTCGAAAGGTTTAAGTAAAAATTTTGCATCTAGCTGCTATAAATGTCCACGTGATGATAAGCCACTTTGTTGAGCTATCATTTGTGGCCAAGTTGCTTCTGACAGAAGAGCATCATAGCTCAGTGGGCCTAACCTGGTAAAATGAAAAAAGTTAGTTTTAGTTGAATTGCCATGGTGATTGTGGTCACCTGGAATGGGCCAAAATTGTCATTCTGGCTGGATGGAAATTATGCTATATAATCGCTTTATATTGCAAAACACTTCCAGACTTTTCACATAAATGGGAATTTCAAGGTGGGAATTACTCAGAGGATGTGTGATTCCTGCAGGTATCATTCCAGGGTTGGAATTTATATGAAATGAATACCATTTCTGCAGGAATTCCCTGCTCAAAACCATCATCATCATCATTCATTCTCATTCAAAATCATCATCATCATCATCATTCAATCTCATAAAAAATTATCATCACTATCGTTCATCCATTCTCATCTAACAATGTCATTCATCACCAACAACCACCGCCATTCAAAACTTCGGGGCACACCCGGTTTGTGCCACCCAGCCACCACCCTCTCTCGAAAGCAAACGGCGGGGACCCCATTAAAGACATCGACAGTGAGGACCACAAGGAAAGACACGGGTGGGGAGGGGGTGTGAGGGGGACCGCCGGAGCCCCAATTGGCGGGTGATCAGCACACACGCGCGTGCTAGTGCGGGTCAAACGGAGTGCCGGCGTGAACTCGCTCGGTGGAGGTCCACAGAGCTCCACCGGGCGACCCGCTCGCACGCAACGACGACGACACTTCAGGTGGAGTGCCGTCAATTTCCATCCTCTTCAAAACCGGTGGGGGCGGGCACGCAACGGGTTTTGTTTGAAAACCAAATTTGTCTATTCACGCCTGCCCACTCTCACTCTCCTCTAAACAGCCGAAATTCAACGTGAACCGGTCCGTCCGTCGCTCACTCGGTTGCGCAACCAAAGTGTTCTCGACATCACGCAAGTCAATCATCGCCTGCCAACTGCTTTGTCCACATCTGAGCGAGCGGTTGTGCAGCATAACCCCGGCCCTGGTCTGCGCGCAACTCAATCGTGCAACAGAATCGCTCGTGGGGACCCCGCCTTGTGCTGTGAACACGACCCCGTGCTACGTCAAAAGCGCCCGACTTGCCATCACCACCACTACCACCACCACCGTCGTCATCATCATCATCACCAGCCGTGATCGACCCACTGCTGGATGAATACCCCAACAACCCGCAGCGGTGCAACAATAATCCACCACCCTGAGCTGACCCTTATTTGACCCGGTGACTGCATCCCCCGCCCCCCCCCCTCTCTGTGACCTCCCAGCGTGACCCCTCACCGGCCCGTGCGCTCGGGGGCGTAGAAGGCCAGCGAGACGGTGGTGGCGCCGCGCACGAAGCCCACGCGCTTGAGAGCCAGCAGCTCCTTGCGGTCGACCTCGCCCAGGACCAGGATCCAGGCCTCGTCCTTGGGCTTGGGGAAGCGTGGGCACTGCGCCTTGCTTTCCGCCTTGCCCTGCGGGCGCGAGGGCGGCGAGTGTCACCGTGGGTCAGCGCCGTCGCACACAGAGGCAGCGCAGTCGTAGTGTGTCAGCGCCGTCGCTGTGCGTCAGCGCTTTCAGCGTCAGCTCCGTCGCTGAGCACCAGCTTCATTGTAATTATCACCGTCATCTTTGTCATCATCAGATGCATCATCATCAAAGTTGACATCGTCATCGTCAGTACCATTGTTATAATTAGTGTCGGTCACCATCAATCACTAAGTTTCATCATCATCATCATCAGTTTCAGTGTCATCATCAGTGTCACCGTGGTAATCATCAATCACCGGTGTCATTGTTCCCATCAACATTATTAGCAGCATTATCATAACCATTGACTGTGTCATCATAATTATAATGTTCATCATTATCAGTTTCGACAGTAATTATAATATTGTCGTTATCATCCCATTCATTTATCAGTGTATGCATGACGCACTTTGCCGTGAAGTGCTTGTATTTGCTGTGATGATAAAGGCTCATTAACAAAATTATCATCACTATCACCACCACCTATGTCACCACCAGCAGCAGTAGAAGCAGCACCACCACCACCACCATCACCACCCCTGCTGCTGCTGTGCGCTCCGCACCTTGCCGTGGTGCGCCGCGTGGCGTCTCAGCCGCACGGTCAGCACGTACTCCTGGTCGGCGTGCAGCCGCAGCCACCGCTGCGGCCGCCCGCGGGACGCCGTCGGAGCTCGGCACGGCCCGTTCAGTGCGGCTGCCCCCTCCTCCCCCTCGCCCCCCCGACTCCTGCACCTCCTCCTCGCCGCCGTCGTCCCAGCAGCCCCGCACGGTCACGCTCACGTCGAGCAGAGGCAGCGCCGACACGTAGGCCCACGCCTGGACGGGGAGAGGGAAGGGCGGCAGTGGGAACGGCGGCGGCGGAGAGAGGAGGATTGCGGAGGGGGCGGTGGAGAGGAGGATGATGATGACGATGGAGAGAGTAGGAGGCATTTGTGGAGAGTGAGACAGGGTGGAGCAGTGCAATGATGAAGACGATAAGGAGTGAAGGATGATTGGGAGGTCGGTGGGGGATGATGATTGCGATAATGGTGGAGGAGGGGAATGAATGAGAGGGCAATTAAGAGGATGATGCAGAGGGAGGATGATTGCGATGGCGATGATGGAGGGATGATGCAAAATATGGAGAAGAGATGCAGGAGGAGGATGGAGAGGATGAGGAGAATTTGGATGAGAAATATTGAAAGTGCGGAGTATATGAGAAGGTGGATGGGGAGAAGGGGGATGAGAAGGATGATGAACAGGGAGGATGACGGAGGAGCAGCATGAGCTTACACACTTGCGACATCTTTGCAGCAGTGATGATTTGACCTCGGATGTATCTTTAAGTGGGACAAGCTGCGGACCGTTAAAAACGCGTGCCCGCGGGGGAATCGGACCGTCATCCATCATCATCATCATGCGGCTGCTGCTGCTGCTGCTACTGGCAAGCGTGTTCGGCCTGCACGCTGTTGCAAGCACATCTTGAATTGGGCGCGCACAGGGGATTCGGGACCGTCGCACGTCACACAAACGACGCCGCTTTGCTCCCACCGCCCCCCGTAACCACGGTGATATTGCCGCTATCTTCTGTGCGACATCCATGCCGAGGTGTGTTGCTCCACCTCTGATCTCCGGCGGATGCATGCAAGGTGGCACGCGCGCGTGGCCAATTCGCACCGTTGAAAACCTGGATTGCAAGTTCCAGTGCGTTATCAAGGGTCTGTTCTACCATCACATTTGTATCCCCCATATCTAGCCTTAACAGACCGCAGGAGCGAGTGCTGTTAAGCGAGTAGCACCTATGAAGGCCGGCACAGCACACGAGGGGGTGGGTGGCCAGAACCACGCCCTGCCACACCACCCTGGGTACTCATTTGAGGCTGACTCGACCTAGGGGAGGCCTAGGACCAGTTCCGATAATCGTCACCGGTGTTGGTGGCCCACGAGTGGGAATCGAACTCGGGTTGCTGGATTCGTAGCGCAGTGCGCTAACCGCTATGCCACCACTCTCCACACATTTTAAACCACGAGAAACAGGAGGCAAAAGGCAGCAAAAGCGACTTCCACGGCACTTTTCCACCACACGTTTTTTATGCCCCCCCCCCTCCACACACCCCACCGCTTACAGGAAGAAGTGCAAATATTAAAATTAATAATATTAATAATCGCAAGACAAGAAAACAAAATAACCAAAAGCTCCAATTAAATTCCCATCATCGCAGGTGAAATGAATTTCGGCGATTCCCCAGTGACAGAAATCAGCAGCGGTGTTTTTTTTTCCTTCTCCACGGCTAAATCGAATTCTTGCCTCCTTGGCAAGGGTGGGGAGATGAGGGGGGGGGGGGGAGAAGATAGGAAATGAAAAAAGATCTCGTTTGGCGAGGACACCACTGTGCATATGATTATTCAATTAGCAGCGATGCAAGTCGGAGCTGTGATTATGCTGATTAAATGTAGGCACTGCGGCCAGCCTGCATCGTGACGCAAATGTAACAATTGTTGCCGGAGCTCATAAGTATTCATTGATTTTACATATATATGTGTGTATTCATGTACACTAAGATTGGCCCCTATAGCATTGACAGACTGCCGAGTGCTGTTGTTAGCGAGTAGCGTCTATTAAGACCGGCACGGCACACGAGCGGGTGGGTGGCCAACACCACGCCTGACCGCCTTTGTCTCCCTAGCGACGATGATTTTACACACTGGACCAGGAACTCATTTAAGGCTGAGTTGACCTGGGGGAGGCCCAGGACCGGTTCAGATAATCGTCACTGGTGTTGGCTGTGAGCGGGAATCGAATTCTGGTGGCCGGGTTTGTAGTGCAGCGCGCTAAACGCTACACGACAGCCCCCCCCCCCCCCCCCCCCCCCACACAGCTTGACACAAGCGCACATTCGGCTGCAAGCAAGCTCTGCTCACCTGTGAGATGTGACTGGGGGAAAGCTCCGGGGAGAGGATAGAGGCGAGCGTTGCTTCCCGGCCGTCGCAAGCCGCGATGAGTTGAGGCAAACTGTCGATGGGGCCTTTGAATCCTCCTCCCTTGGCTTCCATCCTCCGGCCAGCGCTCCACTTCCTGCGAGGGGGACAGGTGACAACGAGCGACGTGACTCCGGTGATTTCGCGGCGAGCCGTGCGGCAAAGCTGCAAGCCGGCGACCTGAGTTTACTCAACTATACTAAGCGATTTTTTATTGTAACAGTTAAGGCCCACTGAGCTTTCAGGGGCTTTTTCAGAAGCGACCTGGCCACAAATGATAGCTCAACGAAGTGGCGTATCACGTGGAAATTTATAGCAACAAAATATTCTGAATTCATGTTGCTTGTAAAGGGAACAACCGGAGGACACGGAGAAAAATCCACGCTACCACGGGTAGAGAGACATGCTAATTCCAAATATACAGCAGGTGTAACGGTCGGGATCGAACTCATGACATCCTGATACCAGGCGAGGCAGTTAACATCTCGCCACCGCGGCGCTCAAATTAATTAAATTCCAATCCAAGGCTAACACCGGGTGACAAGCGACATCAGCAATTGGGCCTGGGTCTCTCTCCCCGCCCCTCTCTCTCTCGCTTCACAACCTGCGCTGTGACCAGCGTGGTGAAGTACGGTTCAACAACCCCAGCGCCTGTCAAGGCACGGGGGGAGGGCCTTCTTCACCCACAAGTCGATTGATGAAGGGCTGTAAAAAATTGTTACATTGGGGCCACAGGCCAAAGTCTAACAAAAGGATTACCACTTTTGACTTTCTGCAAATTGGTACCTATTTTACTAACCCTGGAGGGATGATGATAGTGGTGACAACTGGCCGAATTGACCCTCTGAGTGGGAATTACGAGTCGATCACTTCAGGTATTGGGTGGTAGATTTGTGGCAGAAAGGAACCAACACCGTCACGTGTTAACCAAACATAAATTTGATTCGACTTGAATGTGAAACGATACAAGATCCGCAGTGTAAAACATCTGTACCGTCACAAGATGCCCATGAAATAAAATAAGATCATAGCAGCTCAATGGGCCCTTCCCGCTGAAATAAATAAAATCTAACAACTATAAAAAAACTGAAATAATCATTGCAAAAATAAGTATAAGCAAAAAAGTAATCTGTGTACAAATGCATCACTCGGTAATGCTACACACAGCGAGCGGTAAAAAAAGTTTTTATAATGCGTGCGCAATAAAAGTTCCGCCGGACTTTAATCGAGGCTTACTTTGGAGCCCCCGTGCTTACGTTATAATCCTGTCTTATTGCACAATGATGTATTAATAGTAGTGGCTGTTAAACAAAAAAAAGACACTAACAAGGATAATCCTCCAGGATATACAACTCAGGCATACGAAGCATTCGCTGTGCGTGTGGTTTCAGGCCGGGGACGGTCTTGCACAGACATCGTATTCTCTGTTCGTCTGCTACAGCAGAAGTGCAGAGAATTTCAACAGGACCGACATATCTGTTTTATTGCCTTGGTCAAGGATTACGACACCATCGATAGACCAGGGCTCTGGGTTATTCTTCATGCCTTCAGGGTCCCTGATCCTCTGCTCACAATAATTACGGACCTGCATGATGATGGGCAGGCGTTGGATAAAGCAGCATGGCCAGGAGTTGACCTTGAGGTGCAACAACGATGTCCTCTGGCTCCTAGATTATTATTGAACAAATTTTTTGACCATGTAGTTCGAGAAGCTTTCCATGGCTGTGCCAGAAAATATCCATCTGGTACAGATACAATGGGAGGCTGATCGATGCCCGCGTGCGGTCAAGGGATGGCTCCTTATTCATCAACCATGTCACTCACAACTGAGTCATGCCGATGATCTGGTAATTGCAGCTCACTCGCAGGAGTTGGAGCCTCTGCTGCTGAACCTGGAGTGTGCCAATAAGAGGTGAGGCCTTACCATCAGCCCCACCAAAAACTAAGCACCTGCCTGGATATTTTATTGTCAAACACTCCACCCCTCAACTCCCCCATGAGTGATGGGGCAGCTGTGGAGAGAGTGGAGAAGTTACAGTCACTGGGCAGTCTGCTTATGACCAACTCCGGTTTGGTAACAGAGGCCTCACTCTGACTCAGTTGTGAGTGACATTATCTTTTCATCAGCTGCGAAAAGCTTTGTGGAAGCTGCCTGGCCTGTTGCTCCACAGAAAGCTTCAGATCTTCAGCGAGTGAAGTTCGTGGCTGTCGTAACCACGACAGTAGCGATAAGAGAGTGACAAGGAGTTGACAGACTGCCGGTGATGGAGCGAGTGGCTGGATGACCAATCACGTCGCTCCACGTGCCGGCGCTCTCACCTGAACAGGTGCAGGTGCTGCCTCTCCACGTTGGGCACCGTGAGCAGCGAGTGCTCGTGCAGCCAGCGCGCCTGCACCAGCATTTGCACCAGATGGGCGACGCACAGAGCCGACACGAGCCAGCCCTGCTCCGCCACCGTGTCCAGCATCGCCTGACACACGGGGTGCACACGGGGGGCACACGCGCGGGATTGCAGGAAGGAAAGATTGTAATCATCACCATCGCCGTCATCATCATCACCGTCACCATCGTTGTTGTTAGCCGTGATCTGCTGGATGAAGGCCTCCCCCCCCCCCCCTCCCCAAGCTGTTTCCATCGTTAACGATCCTGCGGTCGAACAATTCACCGAGCACCTGCACGCACCTCCGACTAGCACGGTTGGCTACGTACGGTACGAAAGAAGTTCAATGTACATCAATATACATCCTCCCGCCCCCCCCCCCCCCACTCCGTTACAGACAGACAGACAGAGCTAACGCATCGGTGTTGGCGAGCCTTGATTATAATCGGAGGATTGTTGAGAGGAAAAGGGACACAAGGAAGCGTTTTCTCATTCCCAGAAACATTTTGGTCGCGTGGCTTCATAATGACTCCGTCTCCACAGAGGACGCGCTTCCTCCTCCAAATGCCACCCCACCATTGTTGTCAACTGTGCTAAACGCACCTCCGATTCGCACCTTCGAATAGCACGGTTAGGCTACGTATGGTGCGAAAGAAGTTCAACATACATACATCCTCGATGGCAGTATCCTGCCCAAGCCTGCTTTTAACAAGTCAATATTATGCCTTACACCTGCGCGTGTTATTTAATTCGAGATGTTGACTACCTCGCCTGGTATGCGGGAGGTCGCGAGTTCGATCCCGTCCCTGACGCCTGCTGTATATTTGCTTTTCTCTCTCGCCGTGGTCGGGTGGATTTTCCTCCGGGTCCTCCGGTTTTTCCCTCCACGTTTAATAACAAACTGTGATTGACGATAGTGACGGATTACAGGGGATGCCAGTGATGATGAGCGTGCGGTTATTGATTAAAAAAAAACTCTCGTGTCTCACACAACAAATTTAACTCCCTCTAATAAAGCCAACTTTTATTGACAATGCACTTTACGGCCTAGATGCGGACAGCTGTTATCTGAACGCTACCACAAACTGAAGCCACACATTCTAACCGACTAGATTTTACAAAGCAGGCAATGGCAAAAAGGTCAAATAAGCATATTTGCAACATTTTCTGCCGTCTTTGACTCGCTGTAAAGGTGACAATCTGCAAGCGCTAAATTTAAATAGATTTCTTCTTTCGACGCACGGCTGTCTTGTGGACGCGCGCCCATTGGGCACAGACCAGGCCGAAACTCAGTCGGGGTGTTAAATTGTCGCCAAACCGCGACGGTGGTGACTAACAACACAACACGTGCCGGCCTGAAAGCAACACCCCGTTTAAGCGGCGAGCGCCTTACGGACGGGCCGGGAGGGGCATTAATGCGCTAATCTCCTCCTAAATGTGGTCAAGGGAGCAAATGTCTCATTCGGATGCCAAGATTAAACTGTCAATTTTTAATATCAGATCTTTATTCTCATTATTATTATTGTTGTGACTTTGAACGCTCGCTGCCGTACACCTTTGAATGACCACGATAGCCCAACACCGCCCTGCACTTAATAAATAAAAACTTGAACCGTTGTAACAGGAGTGTAAACATACACACACACACAGGGCCACACACGGACACACGCACATCCACCCTTGCTCCCAGCGCATCACGGCGACGCTGAGCTCTCACGCCACACGCGCTAAATTAAATCGCGCAATTTCTCATTATTAGCATAGTTAATGGGCCGCCAATCTTCCTTTTGAGCATCCCGCACAGACTGTGCGTTGATTAAAGCATTGGTATGCATTGCCACTGTCGCTCGCAACGAGCACAGGTGTATCGGCAGATTTAATTTTCATCGCCGTTTTTTTTTTGGTATTTACACATGCACACACGTGCGCGCGCACACACACACGAGCAAAGGCAGACAACAACAGCCGCCATTCGCCGAGAAGTGACGGTGACGTCACCATGGCACTTGTGCCAGGCTGGGTGCACTTTGAGGCCACGTGAAGTGTCGAAGGCTCGCTGGCAGTAGGTCACGGGACAGACCAAGCAGGTGCCACGGGTAGATTGACAGATGACTGGCAGATGCACTGCCTGTGCTCCCTAATGTGACAATTTGCTGAATTTTATTCGCCCGGCGCTACGCTCGTTGTTGTGAGCGTCGATCCTTTGCCCCCCCCCCCGCTGTTGCAGGAGGGGCGACTGCCTCCAACTGCCCAGCAGCTTCATTCATCGAAGCCGATCTTGACACCGCTGGTACCAGTCATCCACACTGTGTTCAACAACCACCACCACCACCACCCTGCAAGTCACAACAACCACAACACTCACTCACCCACTCGCACCACACTGCAGGTCACAACAACCACAACACTCACTCACCCACTCGCACCACACTGCAGGTCACAACAACCACAACACTCACTCAACCACTCGCACCACACTGCAGGTCACAACAACCACAACACTCACTCAACCACTCGCACCACACTGCAGGTCACAACAACCACAACACTCACTCACTCACTCACCCACTCGCCCACTCGCACCACACTGCAGGTCACAACAACCACAACACTCACTCAACCACTCGCACCACACTGCAGGTCACAACAACCACAACACTCACTCAACCACTCACTCACCCACTCGCACCACACTGCAGGTCACAAAAAACCACAACACTCACCCACTGACTCACTCACCCGCTCGCACCACACTGCAGGTCACGACATTTCTTGGTCCGCTTCCTGCCCCGCACTGCTCGATTAACCAAGCCACTGCCTCATAGCACGTTCAAGAGCAACTCTGCGGCTAAATGATAATAATATATTAGGCCAACTTGCACGAAACATAATCTGCCAATGGACGATGCACTACCAGGTACAGAGCATTTCATTAGGCTGTTTAGGCGAGTCTGAAAGTTGAATACATACAGTAATTGGCTCTGTGTGTTTGCAGACCGTTCCTTACTTACGCCATTTAAGCACTCCCGACATTGATTGCAATGTGTTTATTCATTCACCGTATTGCAGTTGCACATTCACTGCTGCTGGTCGATGTAAAAAAAAAAAGAACTGCTTTTTTAACAGCGATTCATCAAGAGGGGCGACCGGGTGGGGGGGGGGGGGCATCAGATGTCAGGAAGCTGAGCTGGCACCGCTGAGAACCTGGGTTCGAATCCAGGCAAGCACCACGTGTGATTTAAAACAGGCTTCTCGAGCGCTGCGAGTTGATGGGCTGAGAGCGGTCACCAATGACCGCACCAAACAAACAAACTCCCATCACATTTAGATTTAGTTCCCTCCTTAATTAGGCTTAATTTCAGCTCGGAGAATTGTCGACATTGAATCTGACTCGTGGCCGACATTTGAAAGCGTTGGCCCCCTTCTGTGCTGACTAAAGGTCACTTGAAGGGACCTCGGAGGTAGCTCTGTGATATCTACTTCTGTGGGTCGTTCTCGAACACCAAGGGTGGCACTGCTCAAATGAGAAATCTGGACGAGTTCTTCGTCTTAATGACGTGACGCCAGTTGCGGAATCGGGATACAATTTTGGATTTTGAGGTTGTTAAATTATGAAATCATATTATCTGCATGAATCTAGTTGATGTATAATCACACAAACGACCACCCACGACCTACATGTTACGGGGAAGTTTGTATTCTGCAGTGCATTGACAAAGCAATGGAAATGAAAAACCCACCCCATGAACAAAAAAATAAAAGTTTATTTTTTCTGTTTGGAAAATTCATCTTTGGCGAAATATGAACGACCTCAACTACTATACAGGAGGTCATGGTGGGTTCGATCCCAATCCTGACTCCTATATATTTGGAATTTGCATGTCCTTCCCATGGCCGTGTGGATTTGTCTCCGGGGCCTCCGGTTTTTCACCCCACGTCCAGAAACACGCGTTTCGAATATTGGGCTGCTCTAAATTTGCACGCGAAAAGCCGCTTCGTTGAGCTCCCATTTGTGGCCAGGTCACTAGTGAAAAAGAGCTCTATGGCTTAGCGGGCCATACCTGGTAAAATCAAAAATATATATATCGTTCATCTTCTTGGTTCTTTCGGTAAAGTCACGTAGAAGGGAAATAATAAAATAATAAAAATTAAACATAATAAAATACAATTCTCACGACGTTTCGGCCACAACGCAAGCAGCCGTCCTCAGGTGAAGAACAGGTCTGTCGGAAAGACAGCGTCTTCACCTGAGGACGGCTGCTTGCGTTGTGGCCGAAACGTCGTGAGCATTGTATTTTATTATGTATTATTTTTATTATTTTATTATTTCCCTTCTACGTGACTTTACCGAAAGAACCAAGAAGATGAATCCCTGCAGTCACGAAAGCTTTAAATTGAAATATATATCGTTTTTAAATGTGGGTGAACACAGGAATGACCAGAGAATGGGTCTACACACGAGGATGTAACTCACCAGAAATCACCGTTAGCAGGTTTGAATGTACGCCTGCCTACATTATGCAAACGTGCAGAGGCATGCACACACACACACGCGCAAATGTTCCTGGTGCTGTGTATATATATAAACACCTGCTCTAATTAACCAAGTTTAGCCAGTTTTCATAATAACTTAATTGAAACACAATGGAAATTCACTATTTGCATAATTGGCTTCATTGAAATACAACATAAGTAATGTGGAATGAATATGCTTCAAAATGGATTCAACCGTGCATGATAGCGCATTGGGATTGGTGCGTTGGGGATGTACGGATGAAATGCACCGTACAAATGTAAATAAGTATTATTATTACAGGCAAACGGGTGCCTCGTGCTGGGTAAACACACTGGGGAGACAAAGGCGGCCGGGCGTGGTGCTGGCCACCCACCCCCTCATAGGTACTGGCTGACAGCACCGGCCCCAAAAAGTCTGTTAAGGTTACATCTTTGCCTTTGTGCATGCGTCTCTGCAAAATGTGTTATTCATCCGTTTCATTTCATTGTTTCTCTGGCCGGTAAATGCGGCACATGTTTAGAAAGCGGAAAAAAACCGCTCGCAAACCCACAACGAGCAATGTGTCCTTTCCATT